CAAACTGATCATTCCAGCCTCAAACATTTATTGGATCAACGCCTTACCACGTCCCCACAGCAGCACTGGTTGAGCAAATTGATGGGGTTCACCTTTCGAGTTGAATACAAGCCTGGTCGACTTAATATTGCAGCCGATGCACTCTCTCGCCGCGATGAAGGAGAGATTTCTTTGGCAGCTCTCACAGTTCCATTTAATTCCTTACTCAGCGAAATCCGGACACAACAGGCGGGCTCCTCCGTGATTTCAGAAATCCGATCCCAGATCACAGCGGGTAGTCGCACAATAGATTGGACATTGGTAGTTGGGTTAGTTTATTTCAAGTCTAAACTATATCTACTGGATTCCTTTGCCATTATTTCGACCCTCCTTTCAGTTTTCCATAGCATGGCCCATGAAGGGGTGGAAAAGACGCTGCAGCGTCTCCGTCGCGAGTTTTTCTGGCCTAGCATGAAATCAACCGTGGCAGCATTTATTCAGAATTGTCAGACGTGTCAGCAACATAAATGGTTGAACTTGCAGCCGGCAGGGCATCTTCAACCGCTCCCGATTCCACAACACATTTGGGCAGATATATCGATGGATTTTGTAGAAGGGTTGCCTAAGGTGAGAGGCAAGACAGTGATATTGGTGGTTGTTGATCGTCTTTCCAAAGCAGCGCATTTTCTTCCATTGGCACACCCGTTCACGGCAATTTCTGTTGCAGGGGTCTTCTTTGCAGAGATATTCCGCTTACAAGGACTGCCAGAATCTATCGTCTCTGACTGGGATAAGATATTTGTGAGTTCCTTTTGGAAAGAACTATTTCGGTTGGTGGGCACTAAACTGGCTTTTTCCTCTGCCTATCATCCTCAAACGGTCAAACCGATGGTCAAACTGAGGTAGTAAATCGTACATTGGGAATGTTTTTGCGATGCCTTACAAGTGATTACCCAAAAGAATGGGTTCGTGGGCTCCCATGGGTGGAATACTGCTATAACACCTCTTACCATACGTCTTTGGGGGATAAACCCTTTCGTCTTGTTTATGGTCGTGATCCACCTAAACTTATCTTATATGTCCCTGGGACGGCACGATTAGAGGGTGTGGACCGTGAGCTTCTTAGCTGGGATCAACTCTTGGCTAAGGCCCGAGAGCGGCTAGCTCAAGCCCAGCAACGTATGAAGCTGCAGTATGACAAAAATCATCGCGATCTTTCCTTCCAGGCAGGAGATTGAGTCTGGCTACGCATTCATCCTCACAAACAACTCTCCCTAGGTCGTGGTAACCATAAATTAATTCCAAAGTTTCATGGATTATTTCAGGTTCAGTCACGAGTTGGAGAAGCAGCATACAAATTGAAATTACCACCAGTGAGCCGCATTCACGATGTGTTTCATGTCTCTCTTTTAAAGCCCCACAAGGGGACCCCACCCACAACCATGGGAACTCTGCCATTGCTAGTTGACCCCCACGAAATCACACCGCTTGCTATTCTCCGCAACCGTCTGCATCATGGATTCTTAGAATTCCTGGTCCAGTGGAAGGGGAAAGCAATTGAAGAAGCCTCCTGGGAAACTGCAGATACATTTCGGGCCGCGTTTCCAGATTTTGAGCTTGAGGACAAGCTCCTTGTCAACGAGGGGAGTGATGTTATGGACAAGTTTTGGGGCGAAAAATATCAAAGGCGCATGATTGGGCAAAGGGCTGATTGGGCCGAAGAAATTCAGCCCAATGAGACCACTGAAAGTGGCTGACTTTGGGAGCAAGTTCCTGCATTTATTTTATTGTTTTTTAATTCAGTTTAGCAAGTTTCCTTATTCAGTTTTAAGTAAGTTTTCTAATTCAGTTTTAAGTAAGTTTCCTAATTCAGTTTTAGTAAGTTTCCTAATTCTCTTTTAGGACTCCTGTAAGACCTTTATATATGGGTCCTCAGTTGTTTTAGGGGGGGGGGGGGGGGGGGTTGGCAGAATTAATTACTGCGTCTTGACAAGGTCGGACACCGAATTAATTCCAATAAAATCTTTTATTTCCGTTCTCTCTCTCGGCTCATCATAGATCCGAAAATTTATTCATCTCAGTACTTGAATTCGCTTCCTTTGTCTCGTTCTCGACCTTGGACGAGATCGTGTACGCGCGCTCTTAACACGCCTTTCTAGTTTTGCAGCTGTTTATATCCAATGCTTCAACGAATGGTAACCGGCCGGACTCCTATATATTGCATCACCCCAGAAATTTCTAAATACATTTATTTTAGATATTTGTTAAAACTCATTTCATGCATTTACTTTTTTGTATAAGGACTAATAATCTAAATAAATGTGAAAGGATTGGAAAATTCTTCACTTTTCATTTCCCAAGAGAAAACTAAACAAAAGAAAATAATTTCCTTTAACATTTCTTTTCCCTTCCTGAGCATTTCCTGTGATCCAAACGTAACCTTAGAGACTCAGGGCTAAAAGTGTTGCCCTTTTTCCAGATAAAATCCCCAGTCCTACAAGGACAGTATTGCTATATTCCTGACAGTAATCACATGGCACATTAAGTGTAAAATCTCTTAAAACAGAACACACAAACTACCTTTGGTATGCACTGAAAACCTCCACCAGTTACATTTAGTAAAGCCAAAGACAGAACTCTGTTGGGTACCAAAGCAGCCAGCTTGCAAGCAATCATACCTCCTACACAACCATCAAAATAATACGCAACAGAGTCACGAGCAATAATGAAGATAACAGAATCATTACTGCAATTAAATGACTGCAACTCTTGCCATTGTTCCACAGAGAGAATAAAATAGCAAAATGTCAAAAATCCTTGTTAAAACTAAAGTGGTATTATGCATTACCTTAGATATATTATCAACATCCAATCTGATTATATGAACATAGCTATGTGAACATTGAAAAGCTTGATTGGGTATGGCCATTTTTTGTGGTATCTTAAATTGTTAATTAACTATTTACGCATTCAGTCAACAAACACGAACTGAATATTTCTAGCATCTTGTCCATCCATATTAATGCCTCATGGCTCAGAGAAGTATATTAGGTGCATGCACGAAAATGTATTTTTACACTTTAATTCTAGGTGATAGAAACTTACTACTGCCTTTGTCCCTAAAAGGCTCGCCAACTTTGATTTTGTGGTCGTATATATGAAACATTGAACAACAATATATTCTCTTCCAAAAAAATAGAATATGAAAATAGAAAATGTTCTTTGTTCAAAATACTCTCAAAGTATACAAAATTTTCATTAAAATGCGCCGACTATAGACATCAGTCAATATTGTAAAGGTTAGGCCAAAAATTAAAGTTGACAAACCTTTAAGGAAGGAGGCAGTATATAATACATAAACTGGTCAAAAGTAAGAGCTAAATCTTGGCATTGCATACTCTTACCCATTGAATGACCAAATATATGCGCTTTTTCCCAACCTAAATGATCCATTAAAGCTATTGCATCTTTTGCCATAATTCTTGTTCTGAAACAGTAAACGTGACACAGTAAGTTCAACTTCTCAACTAATGCCTATGATAGTCTCATAGTCCCACAGCCTATACACAAAAAACCCAGAAACTTCAACTTTATCATGTCCAAAAAAACAGTGATTAAATACTTATATATAAATCAAGTTCTAGCAAATGATGTATTTACTTTACAGATTACATCTCTGTGTAATTGTAGAAATGGAATGCATAAATTTCTTTCAACTTCTAAACATTACAACGCTTTTTAAGACTCTGCAATTGTGCCAACATATTTGTATCCCAAAAAATCCAAGATTATGAAAAGCCAACTTCGGAATCGCTTTCTTCGCACTAATGTGGTGCTAAAAGTTAGTTTTCCTCCAATGATAATCGGATTCCCAGAATTCCCAAAATCTATAGACGCGAAACACATTATAAACAGAATGTCTGAAATGAAACTCACGTATATTGATATTTTTTCATGGGCACGGAGCTCAAACCCATTCCACGATTATCGAAAGCACAAACTTCAATGTTTCCATCGCCACTGTCGTCGCCGGAGCTCATATCGCCTGAAGGAGATTCGTAGTCATTTGGATACACCGTCCCAGCGAGCTCCTTGATTTGCGGAATCCACGAATCGTGCGTTCCCGCCAATCCTAGTGATCATCATCCAAACCAGCTCAAACCACATAAAATTCAGATCTTCTTAGACAATTTAGACATTTAAACATAAAATTGACTTCTCTTATGATAGAGAAATTTGTCAATACCAATAATCATGAGGACCTTAGCCGGTCCCTGGCCATAAGTCCTGTAGAAAATCTTGATGCCTTTGTTTTTAGCAGCATCCTCGTCGTTTTGATACTTTCCCACCTCACAGATTGGCATACTCACGCTCTCCAAATGAACAAACTTTACAGCAAAATTATAAACAAAATTAAGAATTATGATACTCTCCGTAATAGCTGAATACTTCTCCGGCCAAAAAATAGGAGAGAAAATGTGGAATCAAAGAAACTTTAAATTCTAATTTTCGTTGGTCGTTTTAAATAGAAATAAGATCCGGCAAGGCAAAGCAGTGGTGGACTAGTCGACTATATAGAAAGTAATGCGTAAAGGATTTTTGTATATTTACAATTGAAGTATGTAAAGGTATATATAGGAGTACAATGAGTAGATAATGGCTAGCAACTAACTACGAGATAAGATTTACATTAATTAAATACATTAAATAAATATGATTATGATTTATTTCTAATATGCCCCCGCAAGTTGGAGGGTCTGGGAAGAACTCCAATCTTGAGATGAAGATCATGAAACCGACGCCGTGGAAGAGGTTTCGTTAAAGAATCAGCAAGTTGATCTTCAGAACGAACGTGAGAGACTCGAAGAATGCCATGTTGAACATGCTCCCGAATAAAATGATAGTCCAATGCAAGGTGTTTCATTCTGGAGTGAAACACGGGATTGGCACAGAGATGTGTGGCGCCAATGTTATCACAATAAATAACCGGCTGAGTAGGAATATAGACGTGTAGTTCGGTGAGAAGAGATAAAATCCAGCGAAGTTCAGCCGCAGTAGTAGCCACAGAACGGTACTCAGCCTCAGTGGATGACCGTGCCACTGTACGTTGCTTGCGTGAGCTCCATGAGATAGCATTAGGACCAAGAAAAATAACAAAGGCTCCAGTGGAGGTGTAATCATCAGGATTGCCAGCCCAATCGGCATCAGAATATGCATGTAGGGAGAGAGCGGAGGAACGGCGCAGCAGAAGACCGTGGTCAACAGTGTGACGGAGGTAGCGTAGAACCCGTTTGGTAGCTTCCCAGTGCTCGGTAGTAGGGCGATGAAGAAATTGGGACAATTTATTCACCGCATAAGATACATCAGGTCGTGTGAGGGCGAGATATTGAAGACTGCCAACAACAGATCGATACTCTTCCGGATCATCAAGTGGTTGACCTGAGGTAAGACTGAGTTTGGCAGTGGAAGCTAATGGAGTACTCACACCATTGCATGCAGACATCTTGGTACGAGAAAGGAGATCCAAAATATAACGTTGCTGAGATAAAAGAATGCCATCACGATGAGGAATAACCTCAATTCCTAGAAAAAAAGATAGTGCACCAAGATCCTTAAGTGAGAATCGGCTGCCAAGATCACGAATCAATGCTTCAATGAAATCTGAAGAGCTCCCAGTAATTACTATGTCATCAACATAAACAAGTATATAAATAAGATGATTATGATGATGATAAATAAACAGTGAAGTGTCGGCTCTAGAGTTGACAAATCCAAGCTGAAGAAGAAAATGTTTGAGTTCTTGATACCACGCCCGTGGTGCCTGCTTGAGACCATAAAGAGCTTTGTGAAGCCTACATAGATGAGTAGGCTTATTAGGATCAACAAATCCCGGAGGTTGGAGCATAAAGACTTCATCATACAAATTACCCTGCAAAAAGGCATTATTAACGTCAATTTGGCGGAGCAGCCAACCGCGACTGACGGCCAAGGAAAGAACCAACCGGATAGTAGTTGGTTTGATAACAGGGCTGAAAGTTTCCGTATAATCCACTCCCGGACGTTGGTGAAAGCCCTTAGCTACAAGCCGCGCCTTATATCTGTCAATATTACCATTAGGCAGGCGTTTGGTGCGAAATACCCACTTGCAGCCAATGATATTTTCTCGACCAGTACGTGGAACTAACGTCCAAGTACCATTTTTAATAAGGGCATTAAATTCATCGGACATAGCATGACGCCAGTTGGGGTCAGATAGAGCTTCCTTTACTGTACGGGGTTCAGGCGACACGGAAGAGACAGTAGTGTTGAGATTGAGTTTCTTGACGGGACGAGAAATATTGTTCATGGACCGGGTGACTATACGTCGAGGAGGAATAGGTGGAACGGGAGGAGAAGTTTGCATGGAGTGTGATGTTGGCGTGGAAGGGTGACTTTGCATGGGTGAAGATACGTGCATGGAGGAGGTATTATTGGAGGTGGGGGGTGAAGTGTTTGACACGTGCATGGGGAGTTGATTATTAATAGGGGGTGAATTATTTGACATGGTGGAGAGAGGAGATATTATTAAAGGTGTGGGGTTGGAATTATTTTGGTGAGGTGGCGTATTATTAGGATGTGTGGGTTGGTGGGTGGAGTTTGACCGAGATAATACCTGCGTATTATCTGATAGGAGAGGAAGTTGGGGAGAGTTTATTGGTGGGTGGATATTTGACCGAGAAGGTTGGGAAGAATTTGTTGAGGAATTCAATTTTGAATTAGGAGAATTTGATGGGGAATTTAAATTTGAATTTGGTTGAGGCGGTGTGGTGGATAAAATTTGTGTCTGCGAGGGAGATGGGCGGGTAGGAGAGGGGAGACATTGGTGAGGTGCAGACCATGGAGTGAGAGTAGGAGTAGGGGATTTTTTTGTGAGTGTGGGATATGGGAATACATTTTCCACAAAAGTGACATGCCTCGATACATAAATTCTGGATTTAATGGGGTCAAGACAAAGATAAGCACTTTGACTGAAAGAATAACCCAGAAAAATGCAAGGGATTGACCGAGACTGAAGTTTATGTTGGGTATAGGGCCGAATCCAAGGATAGCATAGACATCCAAAAATTCGGAGTTTCTTGTAATTTGGCGGGGAGTGGTAAAGGCATTCATAGGGGGGAAAATAATTAAGGGTAGGAGTGGGTAAGCGGTTAATGAGATAGACAGCTGTGGGGAGGGCATAAGTCCAATATTCGGGAGGGAGGGAGGCTTGATGAAGAAGACTGAGACCAGTTTCAATAATATGGCGGTGGCGGCGTTCAGCATAGCCATTGTGTTCAGGGGTATGGGGGGGTGAGGTTAGGTGAGTTATGCCAGTTTGAGCTAAGTATGGGGTTAGAGCTTTAAATTCTCCACCATTGTCAGAAAAGAAGGTTTTTATTTTAAGGCCAAATTTATTTTCCACGAGGGGGCGGAAGACTTGGAAAATAGACCGAACATCAGATTTGTTTTTCATGGGATAGAACCATATATATTTGGTAAAATGGTCAACAAAAATGACATAATATTTAAAGTTGTCAAATGAAACAACCGGGGAGATCCAAACATCAGAAAAAATAATTTCTAATGGTTGAGAAGATTGAATGGAAGACATATGAAATGGGAGTTTATGACTCTTATTACATTGACACGAATCACAATTAAATTCTATAGGAGATACATGACTTATTTGAGAAGAAAATTTGGATAATAAATGACGAAATATAGTCTGAGATGGATGACCAAGACGAGAGTGCCATTGATGAGACGAAACTTTGAAAGTGGAATAAGCTTGGACCGAGGGAGTGGAAGGCCATTCATATAACCCATCTCTAGCTTGACCTTGTAGGAGGGGTGCCCCCGTGATTAGATCCTTGACACAAAAAGAAGATGGTGAGAATTCAACGGAGGCATTATTTTGACTACAAAATTGAGACACAGATATAAGATTTTTATGAATATTAGGAACACATAAGAGATTTTTTAGATAAAAGGAACGAGTGGGGGAGGGGAGGGTGCCCGAACCCGTAAAAGTAATAGGGAGACTACTACCATTCCCAACAACCACCTCATCTGTGCCCGAATAAGGAACATGAAGAGATAAATTGTCAAGATCCGACGTGAGATGATGGGTAGCACCACTGTCAAAAATCCATGGAGGTGAAGGAGCTGGACCAAGAACACCATTCCCAGAAGCTATGTGAGCTTGCGGAGAAGGCCAGGTGGGCCGAGGAGGTTGCTGCCATGGGGAATATTCCCGAGGTGGCCAAGGAGTAGTCTGTGAAGGGGTTCCTGAAGCCGAGGTGAGCCGGAAAAGAGGACAAGTCCAAGCCGTATGGCCTTGGGTACGGCAAGCCTGGCAGATGCCAAGATAGGGGCGTGGAGAGCTGCTAGATGAAGAATTCCGGGTTGAGGATGAACCACCACGGCCAGAAGATGAAGCATGACGGCCACCACGGCCACGTGATCCAGAGAAGGAAGGCCCCTTAGCAAGGTTGGCAGTGATAGGAGTGGGAGAGGACTCGGATTCCTGGAGTAATTTGAGTTCACGATTAATGAGCTTTTCATGGAGTTCAGTGAACGTGATACATGTCTCACGACCATCAACAGCATCAATAACCGATTTGTAACTTTCATCAAGACCATCAAGAATGGTTTCAATGAAATCCTCATGATCCAAGGGTTTCCCAAGAAGAGCTAATTCATCGGCAGCGGTTTTAATAAAATGCATATATTCGGTAATGGTCTTGGAGCCTTTGGTGTATTTTTTTAGTTGAGACCGGAGTTGTTTGATATGACCACGAGAGGGTTGCGCATACACGGAAGAAAGAGTATCCCATGCATCCTTAGTGGTGTTGGCACGTGTGATAAGGGAAACAACAGAAGGTGTGAGAGTACCGATGAGAGCACCAAAAAGAAGTTTATCCTGGCGGATCCAGGAGACATGAGCCGGGTTGGGATTGATGACACCATTGGAAGTGATAGTGGCAGGAGGACACGGATGTGATCCGTCTAGGAATCCTTCAAGGCCATAGCCGGTGAGAATGGATTGAATTTGTAGTTTCCAAGAGATATAATTTGTGGGAGAAAGTTTGATAACATTCCCAAGATTGATAGATAGAAGGGGTTTGTTGGGCTCCGAGGTGTTTGGAACATGAACATCAGTGGATATGTTGCCGGAGGTGGTCTCGGTATGGGGAGAAGGTGGCGGTGAAGCCATGAAGAAGAAGAAGGCTCGAAAAAAAAAATGAGTGGAGTTGGATCAAGGCTGTGATACCATATAGAAAGTAATGCGTAAAGGATTTTTGTATATTTACAATTGAAGTATGTAAAGGTATATATAGGAGTACAATGAGTAGATAATGGCTAGCAACTAACTACGAGATAAGATTTACATTAATTAAATACATTAAATAAATATGATTATGATTTATCTCTAATAGACTACGCGTCAACACGTGTTATGAACTTATGACGAAAGGAAATTGGGAAAAAACGAAATTTCTAATTAAAATGTTTTTATGAAAAAACGATTTTTTTTATGAAATAACGATTGAAATTTAACTAAAATACATGTAGTTGAAAAAAAATATTCTACGTAATATTGGAATTGGCAATTGGCATTGTATTGATATTTTTTAAGTTTATGAACTTAAGTCACATTTTTTATAAAGAGTCGGTTGACAGAGCTCCTACGGTAGAGCCGCCGCTAGGTTATTTCCAATTTCGATCTTTCTTGATCGAAGTTCGATTAGTGTTTCCCTAGCGAGATCTCTCGCGTAGGGTTTTTACTTCGTCGCCCTGGTGCGGCGTTTCTTTTGATCGACGCAGCTCTACGCCGGATTGTCGTGATTTGGACGTAGCTCGGGATGGATGATTGTGGCAGCGAGAAGATGGTTAGTGTGGACTTAAGTTAGCGTGGGGTCATACGGCGGGAAGATTTGGGTCATAGCATGGACTTAAGTTAGCGTGGATCGCAGCGAGAAGCGAGAGAGACGTAGGGATGATCGGGACATGGTTAGCGTGGAGAGGCTGAACGCTCCATTCGATGGCATAGATTTGGGTCATACGGCGGGTACGCCACTGAAAGAGGGTAACAATCGAGCGATGGTCCGACCTCCGCCTGAACCACCACCATGGATTGTACGAGGAGCTAGAGTCCGTGAAAGCTAGTTTTCCTAGTAATTTTTATTTGTTTGTCATTTGTTTTCTTATGTTCATCTTTGTTGATGGTTTTGACAATTTGTTTGAGTTTTTAGCCTCTCTTTATGTCGTTGGGTATGGTTGGATCTATGAGAACAGGTTTGGCTGTGTCAAGCCAACTACATGGTTAGCGATTCGTGTTGCTCTTTCAGGGGTGACCGTCTCAAAGTCTCACCATAGGGTTATAGTTGTTGGAGTTTTAGTTGGTGTCAGTTTTGATATGAATAGAGGATTAAAAAAAAATGAACTTAAGTCACATTTTTATATCTAAAGGAAAACACTTTTTTATTCGTATATAAAACACGGATGTCGCTAATTATCATTTCTCCCAAATTGTAAAGCAGATTGCACCAGCATTTTGGACTTTTGGAGTTGATAAAAGCTGAGTGTACCAGACATTTTGGTGTTAATATTTTTCATAAAAAGAGTAATTTAGTATTAGGAATCCAATACAGGATTCCTAGTACTAAATTACTTTTTGAATTGGTTAGAATTCATTGTAAATTCAGTAATGTGATAAGATCGTGAACTTTTTGAATTGGTTAGAATATTAAACATGTGATAATTCACAAAGCACATGAACTTGGAGATGAATTAAACATTGAAATCTTCTTGAGTAGAAGAAAACTTCTGACTTACCCTTGGATCAAAATAATGACTTGAGTAGAAACGCGGATCCAATACGCTTCACTTTGCAATTTTGCATGTTTTTAGTTTATTTTAGCATGACATTCTCGCTGAAACACCGACACCCAAACATACCCTTTATATACCCCATTATCTTAAAATAAACTTTATGTTTTCGTTTTCCGAAAACATAGGCCTTTATATTATTTTTTCCACTAATATAGCATTTCACTACACGATTTCCTCTTTCAAAATTTCAGTGACAAGTGACGAGTCAAGTGGGAGTATTTTTCTATGGAATGGAGAAAGTATTTATTATGATCGAACTAGGTTGTGATGTTATCTGCTTAATGATTTTTAAAAGTGCATTAATTATAGTATCTTTACAACAAAAACGTTGACATACGTCAATACCTTTGTATTTTCCTCACAAGTTTCATAGGTTACGCTATTCCACATCAAATTTAAATGCGAAAATAAAAAAGTGATTGGGCGTGTCGAAGTATAGAACTATAGACAGTTAGACACAAAGGCTATATTATCAGGGAGTACGAAATTCGACCCTTCCCCCATAGCTATATTATTTAGTTAAATTGACGAAAATGGGTTAAATATGTGTGCCCATTTTGAAATTGAGGTGATTTTTATTTTATTTTTTGAAAGAAAGAGGTGATTCGTATTTGTGCACAGAAATGTGTGGATGGGATTAATTTAATGGAGTTCGCAAACCCGACTATAGTGGATTTTTATTTGTATTGCCCACAATATTTGGTTGTTCGAAATATCTAAATTTAGCTGCAATTGTAAGATATAATAATGAAATAAAAAAACTTGAAGTTGTGAATTTCTAAAATTCAATGTGAATAGTACCTTCCGCACAAATTGAGGGGGACAATAGTGAGATACGAAGTATTATAAGTAGTATTATTCTGAGGCAATTGGTAATATTTTCTTCCATTTAAAGCACATGAGGCAGCTAGCAATTGTTGCCTTGAAACTGGGAAACAAGATTAGTGCTGTTTATCAGGCAGCATTTGAAGAGGATCGTTTCGGACGATAGAATTTTGACGCGACAATTATTTTCAAGGACTTCAAACTTGGCCATTGATTTAATTGGTTGTTTATGGGTAGAATAGTTGCATGAACCAATATTACACCGTATTATAAAGACAAATAATTCAAGGTAATCTTGAACACCCTTACACCCAGATGATAAGTTTTAGATACTTGCATGTTTCAGTATACTCCGGAATATGTTTGAGTGTTATTGATTGATAAAAATAGAGTTAACCCTCAACTCATCATATTAGAAAAAGAGTCGGGTCTATGTAATTGGGGTACTTGGTTGGTTATTCCTGAGTAGGTATGGATCCGGGTCAGTCCAGAGTCCAGACCCAATTATTTCTGGTTCTGGGCCCGTTCGGGTACCATGAGTCCATGGTTGTTCGGTCCTGATCCCGTTAATTTTTTTGGGGCAATTCTATACATGGCCACAATTTTGCTACTCACAGCCACCCAATTAATTTTTAATTAAAAACGTTATTTTAAATGTCTAATTTAAAAACGTTATATCATCACCATCGCTGCTTCAATTCAACCTAATCCATTGAAGTTCTAATCATTGCTAATATACTAGTCTGTGTCAAATTTTTGGAGTTTTTGGAGCATCCATGTTCTGTCATTGAAATCTACTTTACAAATGCGCTGCTGGAATCCAAAGATAAGCAAGTTTTCAAAATGTAAGCAATTTTTGTGGTTTCCTTTATAAATCCAATAAGATTGAAAATGGACGCAGATGAGCAAAAAAAATAATAAATTGAATGCAAGATTTAATCTACTTTACAAGGAGAATGTGTTAGCACGTTAGTAATTAAGGGTTAGGCCCACTTTGTATTTATTTTGTATTTAATTGTATACATGTGTTTTGGGCTAAGGGCTCAACTGATACGCACTCTCTTGTATATATATTCCTTCGTTGATAATCAAAAGAAGACAAGTTTATACCCCAATATTATTTCCATACGGACTGCTTTCGTTTCCAGCATTACTGCCATCCTTTTCAGCAGAATGTATTAGTTTCGGGCAAATAGAGAGATGCAAAAATTTTGAAGTTTTTTACTTTTCCTTCGTTTGAGAGTTGAGACTAGGGCCGGGTCGGGACGGGTAATGCAAAATAAAATGGAACCGCCGGTTCCATTGTACGGTCCGGTCCGGGCATTGCAACTTTCAAAATAGGAACTGGACCTTACCCGGCCCGTTTGAAACGGGTCGGTCCAGTCCGGGTTTTACGGTTTCTATTCTCATGTCTTAAAATTAGTAAAAACTCACAAAGTTTCAAAATTCAATAATCAATAATATAGTACATTAGCAAGTTTCAAAATAACAACATAGTGGTGCACATGTAACACAAGTGACAAGTCCAATACTCCATAATTTCATGTATATAAGTTCCAAACAATTAATGGGGATCAAATCTTGCAACCCCCTCAACTCCAAACGGAAACAGATCTGATCACTGTAGATGGGAGAGTGCGCTACGATGCTACTTCCTACTACGGGCGGCTGATTTACTTGCAAGCCATGATAGCAGCGGGTGACATATAGTCGGTGGCAACAACGAATAGAAGCGATTTGGCCGGGGACTTGGTTGGCCGCTTGTACCAAGTCAACGACGCAGGGCTTCTTGGAACAGTGAATGTGGACTGGTTGTTGGACATTTTCTCTTTTTCCTTTTCTTTTAATCTTTTTACCGGTTCATTAAGTCTGAAGTTACCTTGGATCAATTTCAGAAGGACACGGATAAATTTGGGATTATTCCAGAATTAATATTTGGGATTAATATTGGAAGATGGTTAATAGTTGGGATTAATATTGGAAGATGGTTAATAGTTGGAATTATTAGTGTCAATTTTTCCTTAATTAAATTAATTAATTTAGTGGCTGTGAATAGCCATTTTGTATTTTAGTGGCTGCATATAGAATCACCCTTTTTTACTCCTCGCAAGGCTGAAACAAAAAAACGCCGATGGAGACTGAAACCAGGACCAAAACCGCCAGACTCGGTCCCAACTCCCAAATCTGTAAATTGAGATGGGATACTGGCATCCCTCTTGAGCGGATAAGATCGGTCCTAGGCACGAAATCGAAAAAATGGACTCCATCCGGACTCAAATAACGCCCAAGTGCCCAACCTTTGTGGATTAGGCCAGAGTGCCAAACTACCAAACAGCTTATTAATGAGTTGAATCTTTATCGGAAATCAACCCACATTTGTCTTTTTATCTAATGACATGATTCCAAATTTAAGGTCCCTATTGATTGGAGTATTAGAGCTTGGATTGTGCTGATAGCTATGAACATAAATGTAAGTATAAATATTGATCTAAATATAAATAATATTTTTTTAAAAAATAAAAATAATATGTACAACCACAAGTCTTGTATCTCATCTTCAAGCTTGATGCCCATTCCTGCAAGTTGATTTATGATTCCCTGAAAAGAATTCAAATGATCAGTGACAGGAGTTCCATCACGGTATCTGTTTTATTAAAAACAATTTATTGTTCCCGGTCTTTCGAACATACAACTATTCAAGTTTGTTCCACAAACTGCGAGCATGAGTTTCCCCCACTGTTCTAAAAATCGCTCTAGACGCCCGACTAGTTCCTGCCTAGGCACTAGACGGTGGTCGGGCGCCCCGATTTTGGTCTAGGCGCTCCGACTAATTGAATCGGCACCTAGGTGAATTCGTCGGCCGTCTAGGGCACCTAGTTGCCCGCCCAGAGCGCTTAATGGGCCGCCTAGGCGTCTAGATTCATCGAACATTTTTTCTTTGCTTTTTTATTTTAGTATCCTAAGAAATAAGTACCTTTAACTTTGAAAATGCATGTGAAGAAAGCTACTAGTGAAGTGAGTAGATAAAGGTTAGGCACTAACCTTAAATGAACCTTGAATGGTTAGGAAGTGAACTCGTCGGGGAATACCTCTTCGAGAGGGCTGTTTAGTTTTGTGGCAAGAGGGTGGGGCCAACTACTAGGAGCAGGCTACTGCTCACCCATCCTTAAGCAAAAAGTCAGCTGCCAACCTTCTCTTGGCTGAAGCGTGATCGTTGGAGCGAGAAAGGAAGGCTAAAGCTCATCAAGGTGAGGACGACATCTAGTTGCTTACAACTTGTAGGTTATGCATGAGATTACCTAAATGCTTAAATCATGTTTTCATAAATAAAGATGCTTGAACGTGATATGCATGATAAGTAATGGACTTGATCATGAATTGAAACTATATTGATGAATATGGAGTAAATGAGGTATAAATGTGCTATTATGTAAAAATAGACATTTCTACTCATGTATGCATGATATGCCTCTGTAAACGAATACTTGAATGATGAAATTGAACACATGGGGAGGCTGCCACATATTATTAATATGTAGGGGCTCCCATATGTGAATAAATGTTTTGTAAGAATAATCTTAATACTCCGTAGTAATGAAATACTAGTTAAGGATTGTTTGAATTGTTGATAGAATCAAACCTAGGGTTTGCATAGTATTGTGATGAACTTGATGGACTTCGAGTGTCATTTGTGTCTTAGTGTGAACTAAGGTTAAGTTGGGGCAGTCCATAGGATGTCCCATGATAGTTTTATGTATGCCAATTCTAGGCATAATGAGTGCTTATGAATTGGGGTCTATGCCAATGTAAGGAGATGCACTTGAGCCCGAGCTCTAGAATTGCATTGGGTAGACATAAGGTTTAGGTTCAGCCCATGTAAGGAGATGCACTTGAGCCCGAGCTCTAGAATTGCATGGGTGGACATGATGTCGGAGATTGATGATGTGATATAAGGTTTGGAACCTAGGGTCAAATCTATGCCAATGTAAGGAGATGCACTTGAGCCCGAGCTCTAGAATTGCATTGGGTAGATATAAAGTAGATGCATTAGGGTTGGACCCTATGTATTGTCGTGACTAGTGGTCACGGGGTTTGGGTTATGTTTTGTGATAAACATGGGCCTGTGGGCCGACTACTTGACTTTATATAAAGTAAGTATATATTTTGAAAAGGGGTAACTTGGGGTTACGGCCTAGACTATATTATCACCCTATTTGAGGGTCTTGTGTGTGAAATACTTGTTGTATATCTATTAGATGCCTGTCACACCAGTACTTTATAGCCGTATAGAGTGAGGCCTTTCTTGTCTGTATCAGTACAAGGATTACATTCAGACACCCAATCACTTATTTGAAAGAAATCGGCTACATTGTTTAATCATCAAAAAATAAATAATCAATATTTAAATCCATTGAATAGAGGAAAACACATTTCATAAACCAAAACGAGAAATAAGGCAACAAATTGAATAGACAACATGAACAATTAGATCAATATGCAATGGATACTTTAGATCATAGAAGTTAAGAAATTTTAAGGAGAGAGACAAAAATATTAAATAAAGGAAAAACATACCTTGCATTCGACCTACAACATGTTTTGCTACATCGGCTTTCGCAAGGCTTGCCTTCCAGTTGGGGAGTAATTCAAAACTATGAAATCCTTCTAATAAGACCGTTGATCTTTTCAGGCGGCACATATTGACCAGCATATGCGTAGTACAAACAAAGGATGAAGATTTGGGGTTGGGGCTTCCGATATACTCCTTCCGTCCCGTTAGAAGGTTCTCACTTTCTTTTTTTGGACGTCCCATTACAAGGTTCTCATTTTCACTTTAGGAAACAATTAACAATCTTAATTGACAAATTAGTCACTAAATATTAAAAACAATACATTTATAACATCACAGACTATTCATAGTTATCAATACTAACACATTATAATATATATCTATTAAAATTATTTCTCAAAATATACCCGAAGTACTTTATTTAATTATCACCTAAATAATCATGTCGTTTTGCTATGGGAACCTTCCAACGAGACGAAGGTAGTACTGCTTTAGGGAGTGAAAATGAGAGGAGGAAACTGGAAATAATATCCGGAGTATCTCTGTATCTGTTTACTATTTTTGTGGCACTTTAACAAATATCTAATTGTATAAGGATCTGTTTATAATTTTATTTTTTTAAATGATGTGGAATAGACACCGAATAAAGTTGTGTCATGTCGTTTGGAAAGTGTGTTCAAAATTTGCCAATATATAAATCTTAACCCCAGTCGGAATCGCCAGTTCCGACTCTGAGCAATCTGACATACCACCTCCTCCACCGAAACAATGAAGAAGCTGCTGTACAGGGAAGAAGATTACTCGTCGGACGACGACGGAGAATACTTCTTCGATGCAGAATACAATCTTTCTTCTCTCACCGGGGACCCTGCTCCTTATTTCAGGAATGCGCCTAATAAGCCACTCCTAATGGCACCCAGAACACACCCGAGCACGGAGTGGGATTGTGTCAAACTAGGGAGCTCCCCCTGGAACGAATGTGAGGAGTCGGACCCGCCGCGCCAAGGTATGTCCTTTGAATTTTAATTCTTTTTCGTACATTTTGAATTTCAAGAAAAATTAATTTGAATTTTAGTGGAGGAGGTGTTGCCTGTGAAGAGGGAGGGGGACTCACAACGAGCAATAGATCCAAGAACTGAATTTGACACGCAAGATGTTAAGACCCGGGGTTCCATCCTAAAAGGTCAACCTGATAGGAGGAGTAGCCCATGTGTTAATATAGCACTTTGTTCATCCAAACGTTTCCGGTGTGAGACATTTAACACCCCTCCTCACGACCAGACACTTCGTCTGGATTGTGCAATCATTCATTTTTCATCGGTTCGTCATTGTCATATTTTTTTATAATCATGTCATCATTTTGTATAAGGGACCCACATCATGGATCGATTTGGCTCTGATACCATGTTAAGACTCAGGGTTCCATCCTAAAAGGTCAACCTGATAGGAGGAGTAGCCCGTGTGTTAATATAGCACTTTGTTCATCCAAACGTTTCCGATGTGGGACATTTAACACAAGATCCATCTGGCCTCTTAATCCGAGCACCGGAACAACTTGAACAAGTTCAAGAAAGAAGCAATTTAGTTCAGGGGAGACTTGTAGCATTTTTATTCAACTTCCCTGTAGGGGCCGGGCAGAGAGTCCCGAGCCCCTATATGACATGTTCGTAGATTCTGAAGATGATCGTGCATGCAATCCAGTAGAATTGGAGGAATTAAAGTGAGCTCTATTTTATAGTATTGAAGATATTAATATATTTATTATTTGTATTGACCCCTAATTGAAGAATTCAATTGTGAGCAACATCCATGAAACTTCCTCCATGTGCAAGTATGTCTCTGGGAAGTTTCCTCACACCAAGCAACCACCTTCCTCACACCTCCATTGAAGCTTCTCCTAAGCTTCCACCCATCTTCCTCCCACCTTCTTAGTACCTAGTTTTGGTGCTATAAATAGAGAGCTTGGAGAGTCTTTCTATCATCAAGCAATTTAGATCATAGATTAGAATACCACAACCAAGTTTGAGTTGTGAATATCCTTGAGAGATATGTGAGGTGTTTTGAGAGTTTTTAGTTAGAGCTTGTATGTCTCTTCTTTCTATTCTTGAAAGTAATAGAAGTGTTTTTCTCTCATATTAGCACGATCCTGTTATTCCCAACAAGTGGTATCAGAGACTGGTTGAGCTTTTGATATTTTTCCCAGATTTTTTCAGATAAAATTCTACTGTCTGAAAAATCGAGTTCTTCAGTATTGCTCAGAATTGCAATCTGAATATACCGTTGGATTCGTCTCGTCGAGACGAGAAAACTGGTATTTTTGGGGATTTTTTTGGCCACCGGAAGCTGCCGTACGCGCCGCCAAACGCCGGCCAAAAACTGCCTGGTCATGCTGACGTCATCACGCGCAGACAGAGGTTGAAGACAGCTGACGTCATCGTTGACGTCATCAGCCAGCCAGAGCTGCGTCAGCGACACGTCAGCGCCACATGTACAGTCCCAGCACAGTCAGCCGCCACGTCACCAGTCAACTGCCAACTTTCACCAGCGCCCAGTCATCTACCACGTCATCGCCCAGTCACTGCCACATCACTGCCACGTCATCTGCCACGTCACCGGTCAGTTTTTTAATTTTGAAAAATTGCAGTTTGGTCCCTCAATTTTTGAAAAATTATAATTTCCACCTATAATTTTTCGAAAATCGTATTTTGACCCCGAAAATGCCTACCCACCATTTTCGGCCGTTCCGGACGCAACGGTGCTGCCCGTTTTTCAAAATTCTGCTCCGATTTTTCTGAAACAGAAAATCAAAATTATTTAGAAGGTGAAAATGACCTTTGACGAGTCAACTTCATCTTCCGGAGCTATGATTATGCTCACGGCTACCAACTACACGCTATGGAAACCTCGGATGGAAGATTTCCTTAGCTGTAAAGACCTTTTTGATCCAATAGAGATGAAAGGTATTAATCCTGACCCGGCCAAGTCAACGGAGTGGAAGAAAATTAATAGAAAAACTATTGGTCAAATCCGACAATGGATTGACCATAGTGTCTTCCACCATGTTGCACAAGAGACCGACGCTTATGCCCTTTGGAAGAAGTTAGAAGATATGTACCAGGCCAAGACCGCTAGGAACAAGGCCCTACTGATGAGGCGCCTTGTCAATATGAAGCTCAAAAGTGGAACTTCTGTTGCCGAACATACTAGTCAATTTCAGAGTCTGGTAAATCAACTATCTTGTGTAGAAATGCCACTTGGAGATGAAATGCAATCTCTACTACTTCTTAGCTCCCTTCCTGATAGTTGGGAGACACTAGTTGTTACTCTCAGCAACTCAGCCCCAGATGGCAAACTTACCATGTCTGTGGTCAAGGATGCATTGTTCAATGAGGAGGCAAGAAGGAAAGACATGAGCACAGATGAGACTCATGCCCTTGTGACAGAGAATAGAGGAAGATCACAAGGAAAACAACAAAGAAACAGTAGAGGGAAATGGCAAAGCAGAGGCAAAAGTCGGGGGAGATCATCAGATGGCCGGAAACCTTCTTATACCTGCCACCATTGCGGTATAGAGGGTCACATGAAGAAGAATTGCTACAAATTGCTAGAGGAGCGAGGCAAGAGCAATTCTCAAGCAAAGAACAAGGGTGGTGAAGCGCTCATCACAATCTCAGGTGATGTGGCGTATTGTACTATCAATGATGAAACATGCCTTCACGTCTCAAGAGAGGACACTGAATGGGTGGTAGATACTGCAGCATCCTACCATGTTACTCCCCACAGGTACTACTTCACAACTTACAAAGCTGGAGACTTTGGAGCAGTAAAGATGGGCAATTCCAGTTCATCTGAAATAGCTGGAATTGGTGATGTACAAATAAAGACGAGTACTGGGAGCACGATCACTTTGAAGGATGTCAGACATGTTCCAGACCTTCGACTCAATCTTCTGTCAGTGGTATGTCTTGACGAACAGGGGTATGAAAACCACTTTAACAGGGGCACCTGGAAAATGTCAAAGGGCGTTTTGACACTCGCTCGAGGACATGTTTGTGGCACATTGTACAAAACCCATTTGAGGATTTGTACGGATAGCCTCAACATTGCTGAGGAGACTTCTCAGAATCTGTGGCACCTGAGACTCGGCCACATCGGTGAGAAAGGGTTGAATACCTTGATCAAGAAGAACCTTATCAACATCGACAAGAATGCTGCACTGGGTCCTTGCAGTCATTGTCTGTTTGGTAAGCATCATAGAGTATCATTTAGTTCTACTTCAGCTAAAAGATCAGAGTTGTTAAGTTTGGTACACTCCGACGTCTGTGGTCCTTTCGAGGTGGAATCAATCGGTGGAAGCAGATATTTTCTGACTTTTATTGATGATGCTTCTCGGAAAGTGTGGGTGTATTTCCTGATTACGAAAGATCAGGTATTTGAGTGCTTCAAGACATTTCACGTCTTGGTGGAACGTGAAACGGGAAAGAAGCTGAAATGTCTCCGATCTGATAATGGAGGCGAGTATACTTCTAAGGCGTTCAATGCATATTGTAGAGAATATGGCATTCGACATGAGAAGACAGTACCACGCACCCCTCAGCACAACGGCGTTGCTGAAAGAATGAACCGGACTATCATGGAGCGTGTCCGGAGCATGCTGAATATGGCTAAGCTTCCGAAGTCATTCTGGGCAGAAGCAGTCAACACCGCATGCTACCTTATCAACCGATCACCTTCGGTACCACTGAACTTTGAAGTTCCGGAGAGGTTATGGACAGGTAAGGATCCTACATACTCACATCTTAGAGTATTTGGCTGTTCATCATATGCACATGTATCCAAAGAGCTCAGGCAGAAGCTCGATGCAAGAACTATCCCATGCATTTTCGTTGGCTATGGAAATGAAGAGTTTGGATACAGGCTATGGGATCCTAAGGAGAAAAAGGTGTTCAGAAGTAGGGATGTTGTGTTCCACGAAGATTTGACAATAGAAGACATTGAAAAACCCACAATGTCTCGGAAGTCAAATGAGGGTGTTCAAGTTTCAAATGAAGCACCAGAAGAGGACAAAGTGCATGAAGATAACTCAGAAACAGAAGAAGGCGAGGAGACAGAAGAGAGTGCAGAGCAAGGGGAGACACAATCCACCCCGCCAGACACAGATGATGGTAGCTCTTCTCAGATGGTTCCTACTGTTCGTAGATCTGAACGAGGGCATATACCATCGACAAGGTACACATCATCCGAATATCTTTTGTTAACTGAAGATGGAGAACCGGAGAGTTTTCAAGAAGCTGTATCTCATAAGGATAAAGAAAAATGGCTAATAGCAATGCAGGATGAGTTAGAATCTCTGCAGAAAAATCAAACTTATGAGATCGTAGAACTTCCTAAAGGGAAGAAGGCACTAAGGAACAAATGGGTGTTCAAGCTGAAGAAGGATGCAAGCGGACAAGTGGTGAAACACAAAGCTCGGTTGGTTGTCAAAGGGTTCCAGCAGAAGAAAGGAATTGACTTTGATGAGATCTTTGCACCAGTTGTCAAGATGACCTCAATCCGAGTTATTCTTGGCTTGACAGCAAGTATGAACTTGGAGCTTGAACAGATGGATGTGAAGACAGCATTTCTTCACGGAGATTTGAAAGAAGAAATCTACATGCAGCAGCCGGAAGGTTTTGAGAACTCAAATGATAACTTTGTGTGTAAGTTATCTAAAAGTTTGTATGGCTTGAAGCAGGCACCAAGGCAGTGGAATAAGAAGTTTGACTCATGCATGAAGAGTCAAGGCTACAAGAAGACTATTGCGGATGAGTGTGTATACATCAAGAAACTTCCAGACGGTACTTTCATTGCTCTTCTACTATATGTAGACGACATGTTGATCGTTGGGAAAGATGCAGTGAAGATAAAGCAGCTGAAGAAAGAACTCTCTAAGTCTTTTGATATGAAAGACTTAGGACCGGCTCAACAGATTCTTGGGATGCAGATCACTCGAGACAGGAAGAATCGCAAGTTATGGCTTTCTCAGGAGAAGTACATTGAACGAGTACTTGAGAGATTCAACATGAATGATGCCAAACCTGTAAGTGTTCCACTTGCGAATCACTTCAAGTTGAGCAAAAGAACATGCCCTACATCCAAGGAAGAGATCGGGGAGATGTCAACAGTTCCATATTCTTCAGCAGTTGGGAGTTTGATGTACGCCATGGTATGCACAAGGCCAGACATCGCACAGGCAGTGGGTACAGTGAGTCGTTTTCTCTCTAACCCCGGGAAGGAGCATTGGGAGGCAGTCAAATGGATTCTCAGGTACTTGAAAGGTACCACGAAGTTATGTCTTTGTTACGGAGGAGCTGATCCAGTCTTGGAAGGCTACACAGATGCTGATATGGCAGGAGATACTGATAGTAGAAAGTCTACTTCAGGATATATCTTCACTTTTGCAGGGGGAGCCGTTTCTTGGCAATCAAGATTGCAGAAGTGTGTCGCTTTATCTACTACAGAAGCAGAATACATTGCTGCTGCTGAAGCAGGTAAGGAAATGTTGTGGCTAAAGCGCTTTCTCCAAGAACTTGGGATCCAGCAGAAAGAGTATAAGGTACATTGTGACAGTCAGAGTGCTTTAGACTTAAGCAAGAACTCCATGTACCATTCTCGTACAAAGCATATTGATGTTCGGTATCACTGGATACGGGAGACGATTGATCAACAACTGTTGAGACTAGTGAAGATCAATACAAAGGAGAATCCATCAGACATGCTGACGAAGGTGGTGACACGAGATAAGCTAGAGCTGTGCAGAGACATAGTCGGGATGCTTGTTTTGAATATGCCTGGAAGGGGAGAATTGAAGAATTCAATTTCCAGGTCATATCCAAGTACAAGCAAATTGAAGAATCCAATTGTGAGCAACATCCATGAAACTTCCTCCATGTGCAAGTATGTCTCTGGGAAGTTTCCTCACACCAAGCAACCACCTTCCTCACACCTCCATTGAAGCTTCTCCTAAGCTTCCACCCATCTTCCTCCCACCTTCTTAGTACCTAGTTTTGGTGCTATAAATAGAGAGCTTGGAGAGTCTTTCTATCATCAAGCAATTTAGATCATAGATTAGAATACCACAACCAAGTTTGAGTTGTGAATATCCTTGAGAGATATGTGAGGTGTTTTGAGAGTTTTTAGTTAGAGCTTGTATGTCTCTTCTTTCTATTCTTGAAAGTAATAGAAGTGTTTTTCTCTCATATTAGCACGATCCTGTTATTCCCAACACTAATGTGACCTCATATCACTGTTATGTGAATATCACATGCCACATACCCCATGCATTCATGCAACACATGTAATTGTCTCCCACATGCATTTGTATTTGTCCTCTCATCATACATGCATGCACTCAATGTAATATATATGTTATGTATACTCAATAAAGAAGAAGTGAGAGTTTTACATCTTCATACGAAATAGCTCACATACATTTATCTAAATAGTCAATATTAAATTTATCATATAGTCATTCTTTTTTTGGTGTGTTTCATTATAGTGATGTGTGGGGATTGATTTCTTCCTGTTGGTTTCCTTTTTTTTTTTCTATCTAGGATTGACAAGTTTTAAATTGTCTTTCTTTTTATACAAATGAGAAGCATACTGCTTAGAGCACATCCAATGTTCTGGATGTTGGTACTCTTCTTATTCATTTAAAGTTTTTCTCTTTTGCTTAAATAAACTCTTTCAACTTATACTACCATGTACTTCTATTTTATAGTCATTCTTTTTTTGGTGGGTTTCATTACAGTGATGTGTGGGGATTGATTTCTTCCTGTTGGTTTCCTTTTTATCTTTCTAGGATTGACAAGTTTTAAATTGTATCATTTTTTTATACAAATGAGAAGCATATTGCTTAGAGCACATCCAATGTTCTGGATGTTGGTACTCTTCTTCTTCATTTAAAGAAGAACCTGAAAATGAACTGTAAGTTTTTGGAAAAACAAATAGAAAAACTTTGAGTTAGATAGGAGAGCTTTAAAAAAGTTAACCCTCTTGAAACCTAGAAGTCTAAGTAACCATTCTGAAGCCACCTCTTAGGCTTATCAGTTTATCAGAGTTATGGCTAGATTATTTACCAAACACTAGTTTATTTGACTTATTTCGTTGTGAGAATTGAATTTACTATTAAAGAAAAAGTAGAGTTGTCGGCCTTTTTTGCCCGAAGTTGCTGAAATTGCTTAAGATGGTCATTTTAGCATTTTCCATATATATGTTATTTATTTCTTCAATAATAGATTTCCAAATTATTTTTTCAGTGTTCTGCAATTTCAGCAACTTAACCAATATATACCAGACATAATTTCAGCCAAATTCACCCATGCCAATTCTGCTGAAAATGAAACAAGAACTTTTGTTTGCAGTGGTTAGATAAAATGTGGACGATGATTACCTGTTTTTCTCATATAATAAAATAGTAGTGATGATTATCTGTTTTTTCCATGAGTGAGTAAGAATATCTTCTTTTCTGTGTAGTAAAATGGAAGATATACATGCCTTTGCTAGAGAAGAAGACGATAACAACTTGATCAAGTGTATTGAGAGTGGTGTACGTGTGGATTTGAAGGGTTAGTACTTAGTAGCTGCTCAATCCATTCATGATTTTCTATTGGATCTCAAGAAATCTTAGTATTGTGTTAGCATACTTACTTCCTGATCATACTTACTGATATCATCCATTGCAGTAGTGGTTTGTTGTTGCATATTTTTGCTAAAATATCAATTGCCACTAAGGATTGTTTTCTCCCAAAATAGAGAGGGGTTGGGTTGCAAATCGGACCACTTAGACTAATGGCAAGTTATATGTTTTGTTTTGGAACAATTTCAGACAGTGAGGGTCAGACTCCATTACACTGGGCTGTAGATCGCGGCCATCTGAATACCACCAAAGTGCTTCTAAGCAAGAATGCGAATGTAAATGAAAAGGTAAGATGTGGTTCTCCTCTATGTTACTCTTTAACGATTTGAATGGTTCCTTCTTACAAAATGTCAACCACATACAATGGGTGAGGTTAACCACATTCCTTGGGGCTTGGTTACGAAATAAAAAAGGAAAGTTTTTTGTTAGGGAAAAATGCTAACACCAATGATTTTCAAATGTTCTCAATGTCAAACAAAAAAGACTATTCCTTCCCAAACAAATAACTATATTTTGTCAAGGTACGGCCTAATGGTATGTAACCATTAGAAATCTATAAAACTTTCTGTATTTCAAAATTTATTTGTTAGTCTAACATAGTGCATCATGTTTAATTTGCTTGTGGGTATTATTGTTTTATTTTTGATTATTTTCAAAGAGTTACTCAGTGAAGACTTTCTAATGTACTAGTCTCATGTCTCAACTATTTGTTTTTACGGTTCTTCATATCACCAATTGAGCGTATGTTAGAGGAATCCAGGGTTAAACTTTGAAGTATGCTCTTTTGCATGGATTTCTAATGTTAAGAGTGTTGACGATCCTTTATGTTTTTTTTTAATTGTAGGATAGTGAAGGTCAGGGGCCATTACATTACGCCGCAGTATGTGAGAGAAAAGATATTGCACAATTGCTTGTGAAGAATAATGCTGACATAGGTATGAAAGATAACGAAGAAAACAGGGCCGGTGATCTTTGTGAATTTAAGTGGCCATAGCTGTGTGCTGCTACCGAGTGAATGCACTTTTTCCCCTACATCACTCACTGATCATTGTTTGTAGTTTTTTTTTTTAAAATCAATGTACATATACATGATGCTCTCTTATCTACATTGGTCTGTAGCAAGCAGTCATTTGTGTTTTTACAACAAGAACCTAGGTTATGACTTAACTTCACTTAACTCCCGAGAATCTGGAAACACCTCAAATTGAAGAACCTCCGAATCGGGGGGTTTCGGAGGTTAAGTTCTCGTTCAACATAAAATAAACTAGAGTACCTTCATCCAAACAACATTTATGACATTAACCTAGGTTCACCTTATTTATTTCAAAACGCCATTTTACGCATCACCTTATGATTGCTCCATTTTACCTTTTCGGTCCGTCCCACTAAGATTGTTTCATACCTTATTTGGTAAAATTTGTTTGGTCCTAAATTATATATTCTTAGGTTATTCTTACTTTACCAATCAGGGACAGAGCCAGAATATGATCAAGAAGGGGGCCGGGTGAAAAAAAAAATATGGAGTAACATATGAAGCATAAAATACAAAAATGTAATAAACATTAAATAATGTACTAGCATTAATTTTAAAGATTCAAAAACACATAACTAAATGTAGGTGAATTAAGATTTAGAATGACCGCTCTTGCATGTCAAGAAAATCATCAACTCCTTCCGTTTCATTTAACTTTGTCAGCCTTTTGTCATTAATTGTCCTAAAAAAATTATCATCACATTCAAATTAAAGTAACTAATTAGAATTAAGATTAGATGGAAATGTTCCATATTTCAATCTTTATTTATTTGAGGACTTGAGCTGCTCGTTTTGTTCAATTGTTACTACTCTTTGCTATTGTAAATCGGCAGAGATAGCTTATGGGCAGACGACACGTACTACAGCAGCACCCCAACACATTTATGGGAAATTCTATTCACAGTCACATATTTGCTAAATACAGCCACATATTTTATTAATTCCTAATATACCCTTCTAAGAATTAGTGATTAAGCTTCTTCCCGTGGATCCTCCTCATTCCTCAAAGAGCCTTAGCAGGTACTCCTCAACCTCTTGGAGAGCTTACACGGCGTTGCTCTCAAACCTCAGAAGCCAGATCCGTCTCAAAGTCCTGTAGCAATCCCCCACCGGCCTCTGAAATGGAAGCTTTATATATATATATATATATATATATATATATATATATATATATATGGAGTATATATAAAAGAATAAATATGTCATTGATGATATCAAGTCCCTTAGCTTGATGACTTCGATGCCCTCATGTTTGCAGTACATAGAGCTTTGCCGGATGAAATATATGAGATGGATACAGAAAGTCAGAAATTGAAACCACAACTACGGTTCAATAATTCACAACACTTGACAGTGGGAGGATGCAAGTGAAACTGCTTCGTAATTGCCAATCTGATGGTCTAGTGTTCGGTTATGTATATGAATTAAGGATGTGTCTAAACCTTGTCGTGTACTTGCTGGTGCAATTAAGGATTGATTGTTGATTTCATCTCTTGGTTCGTAATGAAGGGAACTGTCACTCCTGTCCCTTTGTTGGAATTACTAAAAATTGCAGACTCTCAAGGTCAAAGAAGCACATATGAAGGTTGCGCAGCTTGACCAGGAGGCCGGAAGGTGGCTAAAGGCAAAGAAAATCTTGGACTGTGATTAGCAATATAGAGGCTGTAAATAGAATCTCCCCACATGTATTCCAAACATGTTTTTTATATTAAATCTTGGAGTAGACTTTATATTTAAATGATTTCAATATGGCCCAGGCCTAACATGAACTGTTGTATGGTTGATGCTTCATACCGTCCATACTCCATTGTTCATAATCCATACATGCTATAGTTAAAATCAACATTTTTGGGAGGGGGAATTCTATTCACGGCCCTTCATTTACTAAACACAGCCACATATTTTTTGTAACCCTATTATATCCTTATTACTGTACTTCGTACTTAACAAATCTAATACAGCTCGTAGACCCTCCCAAGAACTGGAACACTGTTACAACCCCGTCAAATCCTTGTAGCTCATGTATGAAGAGAAAGGAAACTCAAAATTAATTACATTACCGATTAAAAATGCCAAGAATCACAGATTTATATGTGTAGAAGTGGAGTTGATCATATGGTGCCTTTTTTATTTTGTTGAAAGAATTTTATTCCAAAAAATTCAATACAGAGTAGCACCTCTAGCACATACGAAGTATGTTTGATGTTCCCATTATCGAGAATCCATCTTACTTCTCTTTATTCGAAGTAGTCAATACAAGTAGCACATATATTTATCACTTCTCTTTTATTCGAAGCATTTTTCTTCTTCCCCTTATTCGCCTTATTCGAGAGATCTAATCTCAGTGCTGATCGAAAATGTCCGATGAGAAAAGGGCCGCAAAGGATTGTGAAAAGCCTAAAAGGATGAGCCTCAGAGTTGCAGTGGGTAGTGGTCAAAGTGTTGCAGGAGTAATTACAAAGTAGAAATCGTATATCACCGCCTGTTTACTTGAGGGTGTGTTAGAGATTTCAGTTATATTAGGGGCTGTAAATAGCAATTTAGGGGCTGTGATTAGAATTACCCTTTTGGGAGGGGCTAGAAATTTAAAAACTAAAACTATTAATTGAAAAAACAAACTTTGGGGGGCCATGGCCCCCTTGGGGCTTGCTATACCTCCGCCCCTGTTACCAATTTAATATCAATCAGATAAACTCACTTTTATTAATAATCGTGTCACCTTCTCTTGTCCCAAATTTAGAGGGACGGATGTAGTTATATCTTAAAGCAAAATGTTTTAGGTTCAATATTTTGCCGCTCAAAAACATCACTATCAGTACCGCAAGTCTCCTATGATGGTTTAGATATCTACAATTTTAATACTCTATATTATCTAAACTTGATCTGCTGTAATCCATTGAAATCTATGATTTGATGTCAACTAAAATAAGTTCTATTAAAACGATTACACTTACTTAAAATGTTTTAAATTTATTCTTAATTTATTCTAATATTTTTATAGGACAAATTAATAACCTATATTTGTTTTTTTAAGTGCATAGCACTTTTGTACTTAATGTGAAACAATGTGTTCATAATTCACTAATGCAATCATCTCTTTTGCTGAATTAAATGAGTTAGTTACTCAATTAAATGAGTTTGTTATATATGCTATTTGTTTAATTTATAAAAATATATAACATAAATTTAACTGCACATATTTAAAGTTGTATATACACTCAAATATTCCTTTTTAACACTTCCTTAATTCTTTCTAGAAATACAAGCTTTTATGTTCATCTTATTCTTATTACTTATTGTTTATTTTTATTTTATCCAGATCAGATCAGATAAGAAGCATTCATATCAGATAAAAAGATTTAGATCAGATCAGGCCAAATCAGAAACATTCAGATCAGATCAGATCAGAAAAGATCAAAAATGATTTATCACATTTATAATTATTATTATTATTATTATTATTATTATTATTATTATTATTATTATTATTATTATTATTATTATTATTATTATTATTATTATTAGAGTTGCAAATTATTAGTGACTAAACTTAGATTATTAGTTAATAACCGATTCAACGAATCGCAATTCACAATTGGAAGGTATGTTCCTAATTATTATTATTATTATTATTATTATTATTATTATTATTATTATTATTATTATTATTATTATTATTATTATTATGATCATCATCATTGTTGTTGTTGTTATTGTTGTTGTTTTTATTATTATATAAAATAATTATAATTACAAATATAATTATAATTATAGAAATTTATATTTTATTACAATTATAATTAAAAATATAATTATAATTAGTATAATAGGTATAATTAAAATAACTAAAATACTTCAAACTTTGAATGAGTGTGAGATAAGCACCCCAAACTTTCATATGTAATTTAAATACTCTAAACTTTATATAAAAAGTTACTTTAACACCATGGTCATATATTATTTCTATCAAAAATGTAAATTTATGATGCTAATTGCATAATTTAAAATATCAAATTAAAAAAGATGTAGTTATATAGAGTGGGGGAAGTATTATTTATTTTAAAATGGAAGTTTAGAATGATAATTATATCATCGTGAATGCTAAAATATTTCAAATTATGAAATTAGCACAAAAAATTAACATTTTTGAAAGAAATAATATGTGACCATGGCTAAAATAAATGTTTATATATAGTTTGTGATATTTAAATTACATATGCAAATTTGAAGTCTTTACCTCACACCCCTTCAAAGTTTGGGGTATTTTAGTTATTTTTTCCTAATTTTAATTATAATTATGACTATAATTATAATTACATTTTTTATAAAAATGATCTGTATAATAATTAAAATAATTATATTTATAATTACAATTATAATTTTAATGATAGAAATATTCAAATCAAATCAGAAGGATTCAAATTAGATAAAAAAAGATTAAGATCATATTAGACCAAATCAGATAGATTCAAATTAGACAACTTCAGATCAGATATATTCAAATCAGGAAGATTCAGATCAGATTAGAAAAAATCGGATTAGATCAAAAAAAATCAGATCAGGTTAGATCAGAACTTAAAAAGTTCATATCAGAAACATTTAGATCAGGTGAAGAGAACAGCTTCTTACTTGGAGTATTATGTTCGGATCCGCAATGCCCAAGGGAATGCTACTAGATAATTAGGTTATTAGGTACTAATCCTTGAACATCAGATTTTCATTATCAAAATTACACAATTGAGAATTATTTGCAAACCTTTAAGTAACCACAGTGTCATATTATATTATGTACACAAAATATATTTCAAATATAATTTTTTTCATAATTCAACAACCTTAGCCATTACTTGGATGTTTTTACTTGGACTATAATCAGACCCTACTAGATCAGACCATACCAGACTTGGGTAGTTATAAAAATACAAAGAAATCAGACATTACAGACCAGGCCAGCAAACTAAAGTCCAAGTAAAAACATTGAGACAATTTGTGTTGTGAATCTTGTGATGCCGAAACTTACTTGATGCCAATGTATGTCTTTCAAATACATATGATTGCAACACTAAAAAAATTGTTCTTTGGGCTCCAAATACAACAAAGAGAAAGGTGAGATCTACCAGCTAACACAATTGGCTATCATAAACATAACTCAGCAGAATTTCTGAGACTACAGGCAACCACGAAGCATTCTACTTTTTCATTCTACCAATTCTCTAACATTAGAAAGTGTTATTGCTGGTTAACATTTTGTTGCCATAGTGAAAGACAAGTCTCAACTCCGATCCTGAAGAGCACTACTAACTTCTGGCAGACATCTGTGTAAACCATCAAAGCTGCTTCATGAATAGAACCATAATAAAACTGGTGCAAACCATGCAGAAAAAATGAAGGTCCCTATTAAAATGAAATCCTTACTTAAATTGTACGTAGTACAAGATTTTAAGACATTTGTTCGAACTCACTCCATTTATTTATTTCTATTAATAAACAGAAACTAAAAAATCTTGTATGTGTAATAAAATTTAAAATGTTAATTAGATTGTTTTTCAATAAAATTTTACAAGGTTAACCCAAACTTTATAAAACAACTTCCTTTACGTTTGTTTTTCTTTTGCATATTCATTATGCGGGATCTAAACATACCCTTAATATTTGACAGCAAGCTTGAACTTTTCTCTAAGATGGGTCAATCTTCTTTCCAGAGGGAGTTTCTCGTGTTTCAACCCTAATCTTGTCATGTAGTGTACAACCTTTTTAAGCATTTCCATGACCTGTTCACTGTCGCTGCCAAAAGCTTTCTCTTGAATTCTCAAAATTCTCTTCAGATGTTCTAACAACTTATCGTCATCTTTTTCTTGTTTTTTCTGAATGGAAACTAGACAGTCAAGGGCCTCCCCTGCATCATCACACAACGTTAAGGTTACAAGAAATCACAAGTATACTTTTTGAAGTATAGGTTTCTACGAAATCCACTTGTAGACAATGTGGTACAAGTCATTAATTTGGAGTTATGAAAAAAATGTCCTCATATAGTATCCAATAAAAAATGTATCAGTTCTGAATGCTTTGTTATGATAAAGATAGAAGTATGAAGGAAGAGGTAGTAAACGAAGTAGGAGAAAAGAGAAATTGCTGGATTTTTAGGGTGTTTGGATTAAAAGGTATCATAGAAGTAGAAAATGGTCTTTCTGTAGTACCCAAAAAAAAGTAGAAGAGGAAAGGGAAAATTTGAGTTTCTCTTCATTTGTATTTGGTTGGATGGAAGAAAGTGATGAGAGAAAATGAGTTTTTGGTGGAAATTTCAGAATTGTACTATCAAAGAAATACATATAAAGATATTTCATCTAAACTGCTAAATTACTCTCATACTGTATATTTCTCAAAAACTTGTTTCAAGATCAGACAACTCGAACTTCACCAATGTTGAGGTTGTATAGTGTGAGCCACAAACGATTGCAATCGGCGTGATATGCAGTACATATGATGTATTTGAAGAAGTCGTAACCAGAGAAAGCATTTGTCAATACCAAATTTTCCAATCAAATAACAAACTTGCACTGTCGTGGAAGGCGATATGCATCTACCAGGACATATGCAACTAGCATATCCAAGCAGCGGGAGATGATCAAAACTCACAGTTGTGGAAAGTGAAAAAATATCAACCCTCCACATAAAGGATGTACTTTGTTGTCATATGCGGACATGAACCCGTATGGTAACAGAGTAAATCCTTATTATGTGGGATAACATTACTGTATTGCCTACGGTGTGACAGCTCAAAAACCTCATTACATATGTTTTGTGGATATAAGAACTCAACTTGTTGCCACATAAGTCCAGTGGTGCGTCAATCCGCAAAAAGTTCGACAACTTTATCGAACATCGCGATAATGAGTTAGGTTATATGTCTTTAACACATAATTAAAACTTTTAGAAAGGTTTGTTGTAACTAAGTGCCCACATTTCGCCAACAATTTCACCGCTAAAATATACTACACATAAAGGAATTCTCATTTATGCCTATTATTTGATGCGTACATTCATGTAGTTCCCGGACGATGAGTGTAATTGGCTTGCCGGCATAGCTTTTTCAACTCGTTGTTCCACAATTTCATCACAAAATTGCTCTCTATATGACGGCGACAATAACACTTCGAAACTTGTGACGAATGGCGATCGAAGATTAGACAAACTTGGTTATTGTCTTCCAATCACACTTGACATAACCCTTTGAAAGAACCAGGATCAAATATTTGCATTTTCACCCTCCACAACATCATACGCGAGAGAGAGTATCTCACGATTAGCGTTCATGGACACCGCAACTATGAGAACAACCTTGTACTTGTTGTACAAGTGAGTACCGTCAACCGAGATTACAGGTAGACAGTGACAAAAAACATCAATTGACATTTTGAAAGACCAGAATGCTCAGCAAAATTTGTAACTCAATGGAGTGTTGGTCGACTATTTTGATTTGAACATGACTCTTAGATTTGAATATCTTATTGTTTCTAACTGTGAAAACCCTAGTAGTATTGGGCTTAGCCCATTTGTATATCTTGCATAGGAAACCCTAGTACTCTAAATATAGCTATAAATATAGCTTCTTGTATAGCACTTAATTATCAAGTATATGAAATACAACAATACTTGTTCACATGGTATCAGAGCCAATACGGCAAATATAATTAGTTACTGTTATTATCCGGCACAAATTCCGGGCAGAATCTCTCCGGCCATAAATTCCGGCGTGAATAGTGGTCGTGGATGGTGTGCTTTCGGTAGTGATATAAACCTACCGTCCTCTTCACCTCAACATCCCGACTTACCGCCGAGAAAATCACCGCTGCCGCCTCATCCACGCGCCGCCACGCGCCGCTGCAGTTGGACCCACAGCTGAGTGTTTTTCGTAGATCTCTGCCTTTCTATTCATCTGCTGTGTACACCACCAACCACCCGAGAATCCTGAGATTCCGGCGACCAGGAAGGTATGGGTTAGCACTGCCGCCGACTGACCACGCGCCGCCACCTCTTCCGCTGTCCACACGCGCCGCCGTCCACACGTGCCGCCGTCGCCCAGATCCGGTGTCATCCACACACCACCGCTCGTCCATACGCACTGCTTCTGCCGCTACCTTATTTCGCCTCTCCCGGACTGAGGTTGGTTTTCATACTCCCTGATTTGCTTCTACTGTTGATCTTCCCAGCAGTCTCTTGGTCAACACACAGCTGGTCAACACACAGCTGCTGCCTGATTGCCTGAAAGTTACTGGTTTTCTATTATTTGCTGCACTCTGCTGCCTTGAAGCGTTCATCCCTTCAGCAGGTTTTATTTTTGATTTCTCGTTTGTTTTGCTAATATTAATTAGCTTTTCACTCTTCTTTAAAAAAAAAAAAAAAAAAAAAAAGAAAAGAAAAGAAAAAAAAAAAAGAAAAAAAAAATCATCAGTATTAAAAAAAAAAAAAATGTCTTTTATGAGTTCTGACAGAGTAAACAACACCGGATACTCAAGATGGAATCGCCCCAAATGTGATTTTTGTCATAAAAATGGTCATACTAAAGACAGGTGTTGGAAATTACATGGGAGACCTCCTCCCTCAGCCCATGTTGCTCAGCTACCACCATCTCCCATTGTTCTACCACCAGAAGAATATGCATCATATCAGCAATTTAAGTTGGCTAATATGCTTTTATCCACACCCGGGATGTCTACTGCTTGTGTTTCAAACACAACATGCTCATGGATCATTGACTCAGGTGCCTCAGACCATATTTCTGGTAATCCCCATCTTTTATCCCATATTACCAAGGACCGACATCTTCCTTTGATTACTCTTGCTAATGGCCTTCAAACTTCGGCTTCGGGTATTGGGCAAGCACTTCCATTTTCATCTTTACCATTAGACTCAGTCTTATATGTCCCAAACACCCCTTTTAACCTTGTCTCTGTCAGCAAAATTACACGTGCTCTTAATTGTTCTGTAACATTTTCTGCTGATTCTGTAATTGTGCAGGACCGTTGTACGGGGAAAACAATAGGCGTCGGACATGAATCTCAAGGTCTGTATCATCTCCGTCCGCTTGATCCAATCGCTTGTGTTTCAGTTGAATCCGCCATTACCTTACATAACCGTCTGGGCCATCCTAGTCTCTCAAAGTTTCAACGTATGGTACCAGGTTTCTCAAATCTTTCATCTTTAGATTGTGAGTCATGTCACCTTGGAAAACAACCTCGTAAATCCTTTCCAAGACGAGTCAATAAACGGGCTACATCACCGTTTGATTTAGTTCATACAGATGTATGGGGTCCGTATCGAGTCACTTCTACTTTAGGTTTCCGTTATTTTGTTATTTTTGTGGATGATTATTCCCGTTACACATGGATGTTCTTAATGAAAGAGCGTTTTGAATTGTTTCACATTTTTCAAACTTTTTGTGCTGAAGTTCAAACTCAGTTTGGTCATTCTATTAAAATTTTACGCAGTGACAATGCTAAAGAATTTTTTGGGGCATCCTTTAATCAATTCATGACATCACGGGGTATGCTTCACCAATCGTCTTGTGTTCACACGCCTCAACAAAATGGGGTTGCTGAGCGCAAGAACCGACACTTGGTTGATACTGCTCGTACCCTATTGTTACACTCCCATACACCGCCTCAGTATTGGGCAGATGCTGTGCTCACTGCGTGTCATTTAATTAATAGAATGCCTTCCTCAGTTCTTAATAATGAAATTCCCTATTCTATTTTGTTTCCTGGTCGTGATTTATTTCCATTACCACCTCATGTGTTTGGGTGTGTGTGTTTTGTCCATGACACGACACCTGGATTAGCTAAAATGTCGGCTAGGTCAATAAAATGTATCTTTCTTGGATATTCGCGACTCCAGAAGGGGTATCGTTGTTATTCTCCATTACTCAAGAAACATTTTATTTCAGCCGATGTCACTTTCATTGAGTCGTCCTCTTATTATCCATTATCTTCGGTTGATACCCCATCATGTTTGGACTTCACCTCATATCTCCGACCCATCCCTCTGGAGACTCCCATTAACCCCCCATCTGATGAGCACCCAAATTACTCTAATATGGCAGACCGTCCATTACAAGTATACCATCGACGTCCTCGGCCTCCTCCCATTATGCCTTCTGTGGCCACGCCTGTTGAATCCCCTGAGACGGATCCTGCGTCATCACCATCAGATACCACAACACCTGAAAATACTCAGGATGATTTGCCCATTGCTCTCCGAAAAGGTACACGTTCTACTTTGAATCCACATCCCATATATAACTTTTTGAGTTATCACCGCCTCTCTACCCCGTACTATGCTTTTATTTCCCATCTATCTCATATATGCATCCCTAAAACCACACATGAAGCACTAGCACACCCGGAGTGGCGTAAAGCCATGTTGGCTGAGATGGATGCTCTTCATTCTAGTGGGACGTGGGATTTAGTCCCCCTTCCCGAGGGCAAATCACTGGTTGGATGTCGGTGGATTTACACAGTTAAAGTTGGGCCTGATGGGGAGATTGATCGTTTTAAAGCACGCCTTGTGGCGAAAGGGTATACTCAGATATATGGTTTGGATTACACTGACACTTTTTCTCCTGTAGCGAAGATTGCATCAGTTCGTTTGGTTTTATCCATGGCAGCAATGAGCCGCTGGCCATTGTTCCAATTGGATATTAAAAACGCATTCCTTCACGGCGATCTACATGAGGAAGTTTATATGGAGCAACCACCTGGATTTGTTGCTCAGGGGGAGTCTGGTATGGTGTGCAGATTACGTCGTTCATTATATGGCTTGAAGCAATCTCCACGTGCATGGTTTGGGAGGTTTAGTGCTGTTGTCTGCACCTTTGGCATGATTCGCAGTGATGTTGATCATTCTATATTCTACAAACATTCCGCTGGCAACAAATGTATTTATCTTGTTGTGTATGTTGATGACATTGTCATTACAGGTAGCGATGATCAAGGAATTGTGCTCCTCAAGCAACATCTCTTTAGCGAATTTCAAACAAAAGACTTAGGAAAGTTGAGATACTTCCTTGGTATTGAGGTCGCACAGTCTCAAAATGGAATTGCTCTCTCACAAAGAAAGTATGCCTTGGATATTCTTGAAGAAACAGGGTTGCTAGATTGCAGGCCAGTGGATACACCAATGGATCCGAACGTTAAACTCTTATCAGAACAGGGAGATCTTTTGCCCAACAAGGAAAAATATAGAAGACTCATCGGCAAATTGAATTATCTTACCATCACGAGACCGGATATTTCATTTGCGGTAAGTGTTCTTAGTCAGTTTCTTGATAAGCCATGTACTGGACATTGGGATGCAGCTATCCGAGTTTTGAGATACATCAAGAAAACTCCAGGGCAAGGATTGTTGTTTGAAGATCGAGGCCACCACGATATTGTGGGATACTGTGATGCCGACTGGGCCGGATGTCCGATGGATAGACGTTCCACTTCGGGATATTGCATCTTGATTGGTGGAAACTTAATTTCATGGAAAAGTAAGAAGCAAGATGTGGTTGCCAGATCTAGTGCTGAAGCAGAATATCGTGCAATGGCCCTTGCTACATGTGAAATCTTATGGTTGAAGCATCTCCTCCAAGAGTTAAAATATGGAAACTCAAAGCCGGTTAAACTCATGTGTGATAATCAAGCTGCAATGCACATTGCATCAAATCCGGTATATCATGAGAGGACGAAACATATTGAAGTTGATTGTCATTTTATTCGAGAGAAGATCACGAGTGGACATATCATCACACAATATGTGAACACAACTGAACAACTTGCAGATATTTTAACTAAGTCTCTTAGAGGTCCTAGAGTGGGATATATTTGTAACAAGCTTGGTACATATGATTTATATGCTCCAGCTTGAGGGGGAGTGTGAAAACCCTAGTAGTATTGGGCTTAGCCCATTTGTATATCTTGCATAGGAAACCCTAGTACTCTAAATATAGCTATAAATATAGCTTCTTGTATAGCACTTAATTATCAAGTATATGAAATACAACAATACTTGTTCACACTAACAACTTAGGTACTTCACTATATGACGTCTCTCAATTGCCGACTCTACGCCCTAGAACGATCAAACGGTCATAACAAGTCTTTTGTATCAGACATGGATTTAAAATTTTTCATAGACGAGTTTGACGCTTTAGTCAACCCGTCCGCACTTTTGGAGAGATCTGATTTGTTATGATCTTACCCGTTAGGATCCTGTCATCCGAGCTATGGTATAAACTGATCTACGGCTTTGGGGGGGGCTGATATTTATTCACTTCCCACACCACCTTTCACAACATTCCCTGTCCCCGACTTCTTCTAATGCATCATATGTACTATATATCACGCCAACCGCAATCATTTGTGGTTCACGATATACAACATCAACATATGGTTTGTCTAGTTCCACATTGACTCATGTGGTGTATACTACCTCATCATTGTCATCGCTAGTAGATGATTAAGCATCACTACTACAAAGTCATTCATAGTTCGGGTTGTCTAACACTTAAAATAAGTTTTTGACTATAGATAGCAGATATTTTATTTTTATATACGGAAGAAAAGAATTTGCACGTGAATCCAACTTGGCATAAAATCCACCAAAACCTAAACAAATCGGAAAGTAACAACAAAATAGTTAGGTAGAGAACTTGGCGGTGGAGTGAGTACATTTTCAGAACGGAATATCAATAAAAGTTTAAACACTTTAACTTTAAATAAAAGTCTGACCTATTAACTTTTTTTTGAAATTATATTACACTCGGAATGGGGCACTCTGACCATTTTTTTCCTAAACCCTATTCTATTCGGGATAGGGCCCTTCTCAATTGTGTTTTTCGTACCCTAAACCAAAGTCCCGTTTTTTGCAGGGGAGTTTTGAAACTCCCGTATTTTTGGAAATTCCCCCAAAACCAAACATTCAGACCAAACGTTACATTTAGGCAGAAAAATAAGACAAGACTAGAAAGATCAGTAAGATCATACCACGCCAGAAAGATTGAGACCAAACCAGAAACATCAAAACCAACAAGAAAGATTCAGACAGTGCCATGAAAAAAGCAGTTCATAATCTTCAGGTGAAAATAAGAGGTCCTAATTTTTGTAATAAAACTGCAATCAAAATAGTAGTGAATCAACAGGAGCTCACCAACGGGGAGAGAGTCTTTTCCAAACGCCTTCTCACGAATATGTAAAGCCTCAAGTGCATACTTCTCAGCTTCCTCAACTTGGTTCAAATTGTAGAGAGTGATTGCAAGATGCAGCATTGGAAAGCTAACAGCCTGATCATCAGGTGGCAGGGCCTTCAGCATAATCTGCAAACTAATACGCAGCAACTTCTCTGCTTCAACATAATTTTTGGACCGATAATACGATGTGGCCAGATTTACAAGATGGGTTACATATGTTGGGTGGTCTTTCCCTTTATATTCTTCAGCGATGAGCAAGCATTCTTCCAAAAGGGAACGGCCTTCATCCTCCCTGAAAGGAAAGAAATCAACGAGAAATGTGTGTTTGCGTGTGTACGCAAATATACATGACCAAACAATTAAAGGCCTGTTTGAATGAACACTATTGGAAGGGGTGGTGGGGATGCTTTGAATAGTTAGTCTGTTTGTTGAAAAAATAGAATATTTCTAAAAACAAATCAAAGGGGATAAAAGTGTTATATGATCCAAGATTTTAAATTGTGGTTACGGTAGCGGTCATTGCAGTTAATGAGGCCGCTGCGATGTGTATTGTGGCTAGGGGTGAGCAAATAACCGAAAAAACCGACGTAACCGATAACCGGCGACCGAACCGAACCGAAAAATCGGTTATCGGTCGGTTTTCGGTTATCAAGTGTAAAAAATTATCGGTTATTCGGTTATTCGGTTATTTAGCGGTTTTAAATTTTAGGTTTCGGTCGGTGACCGATAACCGAATGAATAGGTGTTAAGTATAATTATAGCCCAGCGGCCTCCTACCCAAATCAATGCAACGGCCAACCTCCTACCCTAAATCGCCAAACCTCTGTTCCGAAAACATGAGCGAATGAACCTGACCTCTCCGGAATCCAGACTCTAGCAAAGCGAAGAAGCCAAGCGATTAATTTTAGCCTTGTACGAAGACCCAAGGTAATCTGAGTTCTCTTCTTCAATCCCTAACTTGAGGTTTCCTCTGTGGTCACTAATTTGACATCGTTTCTTCAATTCACCCAATCGCAGACTTCCCCAATCTAATTATCTAACAGCGGTAAATCTCTAACTTATCTCAATTAAACCCCTCTTTCTTCAACAAATGCTTCATATTTTTTCCCCCGAGTTCAGCGATCTCTCTGAAATCCACTGTTTTAATATTTATATTTGATATGTAGAGATGTTTGGGTTGGCCGTTGGGGACCTAATGACCTATGAGTTAGTTTTCTAATTAGTTATTTAATGGATTATTAATTTGGTGAAAATAATATGTAAGGGCTTTGCTGAAGTCTTGGAGTTAACTTCTTATACGAAAATACGTATAATGGGAAGGAGTTAATGGTTATAACTAGCTAGAAGAACTAACATTCTACGGGCATTGTTTTTCTTCTTCTCAAGAAGAAATGAATGATATTAGACTTCTTTTAAGTTGCTCCACTAAGAAATCTTTGCCGAAATCAACAGCTGCTTAATTTACTTTCCATGATGTAGATTTATTAGTTTAGTGATGACTTATTACAGATTCACATAAACAACCAATTTTATATGTTTGTGAGCTTGTGTCATGTAGACGTGAAATATACTGTTATATTTGAAGTGATGAATGCTGAGTATTTGATTAGCTCTCCATCGTTTCTTACTGCAGGAATTTTGTTATATAAATGTATTGCAGAAACTATTTAATGATAGCAAGTATTTGCATTTACTTTTGATCTCACTTGGTCACTTGTAATATTGACAAGGGACATATGCTTTGATGCGATGGACAATGGTAGAATGGTGTAGATTTACCACTTTGGATTTTGTAATTTTGTGACATACTGTGTCTTTTTGCCAAATTATTAGTAAAAGTTTTTCACTTAGGACATTTCTTTTATAATATTTCCAATATATACTTCAATAAAGCGTCTTCCGGTTACGAATAAAGCATCCAGCTTGGAATCCTTCGTTTTTTCCTAGTGTTTATAAAAAACTTTCAGATTTTAGAAAAAAATAACCTTAAAAAATCTATATGTTCGGTTATGGTCGGTTATTCGGTTATTGACCGAAACCGAATTGTCGGTTTTCGGTTTGTACCCTAAAATTACCGGTCGGTTTTCGGTCGGTTATTGAAGCAAAAAAAGTTGGTCGGTTATTCGGTTATCGGTCGGTTATTTGACCGACCGACCGAATGCTCACAATTTGTGGCCGTTGCCGCATGAAATATTTTCAAGTTCGCACCAAATAGGAATACCATTATTTTTTGTATTGTTCAACAAATCTTCTATTAATTATATTTAACATAAATTAGTTTATTTGAATTAATAAATGATAAAATTAATAGAGCATTATGAATACTTCTTTAAACACTTATATAGTTATACGTGAACAACTATGTTGCACGGAAACGCGGAAGTAATGAGGAAACGGAAAACAAGAAACGTCAACTTTTGCCCAAAAAAGACTTTTTGGAGAGTTTCCAAAGAACTTTCCCAAGAGTTTTCGCGCTACATAGGTGAACAACGAATCTTTAAAAGAGAATAATAATTTGATTGCTAAACTAAATAATTATTACAAACACTATTAAAAATTTCTTCAAACTAAACAAGTCTTAACAGATCTCTTAATTTAAGTAGTCCTTGCATTAAATGGTTATAACAAACACAGTTCAACACGCACTGACATGATATAAAGCGTTTCAAGTGTTACATTGTCAAGAATGCAAATACATCGCCTGTGCAAATTGCAGACTTTTTTGAACATAAATATGAAAAGTCAAATGAGTTAATAAATCAACAACGACAACTACAATAATAATAGTAATAATGTTAAGAAGAAATATAGTAATTTACATGATTCTTTCAACCACATGGTGGAATTTCATTGGGAATAACAACCTATGGTTTCACTTTGACTATCATCATGAGAAGATCCTTGATTGAAAACATAATCATAAAACTCATTACTTGTTTGTTGATATGTTGATGATTGATAATAGGAAGAAGTTTCATAATTTGCGTATTGACAATAAGAGATGAGATTAGGATACTCAGCAAAAGGCACATAATATTGTGTACCACTAGAAGATTCATCGTTACAAGTATAACCAAAATTTGGTCCATTACTAGAATAAGATGAATCAACTAATGGAACATTACGATGTTTGTTTCTTACTTTCCTGTTGTCATACTTGTTTTGCTTCTAGTAGTCTCACGCAATGAATTATCATCGATAGTTATTTCAATCAAACTCCTATAACGCCTAGAGTATGAGAAGTCTGGTTGAATCTTCCATGTCGTGTTAACATCACCATCATTATGATGTTCCCCAAATCTTCCATTATCACCATCACCGTCACTATCACCGCATGGTGTACCATGACCACCATTATCATGAGCGCAATCTATATCTTCATCATTTGTGCTCACCAAAGGCAACCATTCTAATCTTGCACTCCATCTAATAGTGATTTTTCCTTTCTTCGATCCATGGAGACAATGAATCATCATCTTCATAAATATAGTCAATATTAATCAAATTAAAATTTTCTTCAATCTCTGCTTCACTTTTTCTTATCTAGTGTTTCATTTTCAACTTCATTTTGTAGTGGGTAAGACTAATTTTTGCAACTTTTTATATTTCAATCTATTCCTCGTCTTCGTGTGTATATAGCTAAATGTGCTTCAATTCCTCTCACAGTTTGTTGTTGACATCGTTTGACTAAGAACTTTCACGACCACACGTTTAAGTTCAAGAGCACAACCATCATATATCAACCACCACTCAGTTTTACAAAAGATCACGAATTAATTACTTAAATACTTTTTTAACATAAAAATATTGATAAATGTATAAATTATAAGTAAATTTTACATTGATTCATGTTAGAAGTAAAATTTACATTGATTCATGCCTAACATGAATCAATGTAAAATTTTACTTTTAATTTATACATTTATCAATATTTTTATGTTAAAAAATTACTTAAGTAATTAATTCGTGATCTTTTGTAAAGCTGAGTGGTGGTTGATATATGGTGGTTGTGCTCCTGAACTTAAACGTGTGGTCATGAAAATTCTTAGTCAAACGACGTCAGCAACAAACTGTGAGAGGAATTGAAGCACATTTAGCTATATACACACGAAGACAAGGAATAGATTGAAATGTAAAAAGTTGCAAAAATTAGTTTTCACCCACTACAATATGAAGCTGAAAATGAAACATCAGATGTGAATAAGTCAAGGAGAAATCGAAGAAAGTTTAAATCTGATTAATCTTGACTATATTTTTGAAGAAGATGATTCATTATCTTCATGGATTGAAGAGAGGGAAAATCAACTATTAGACGGAGTGCAACATACAAAATGGTTGCCTTTGATAAGCAAATAAGATGAAGATATGGAAAGCGTTTATGATAATGATGATTGTGATGATAATGGTGACGGTCATGATACACCAAACGATGATAGTTGCCGGTGATAATGGAGGATTTGGGGAACACAATATTGATGGTGATGATAACACTGCGAAGGAGAATCAACCAAACTTCTCATACTCCAAGCGTTATAGGAGTTTGACTTATATGACTATTGATGATAATTCATTGTGTGGGACCAGTGAAAATGGGGCAAGTATGAGAATAGGAATTAGGAAATATGCATCTTATTCATGTGCCTTTTTGATGAGTTTCCAAGTGTCACCTCTTATGGTCAACATGCAAATGATGAAGCTTCTTCATATTATCAACCATCAACATATCAAAATTCTTATTATCGACAAGCAAGTGGTGAGTTTTATGAATAAGTTTTCAACCAAGAATCTTCTCATGATGATAGTCAAAGTTAAACTAGAGGTTGTGATCCCTAATGACATTCCACCATGTGGTTGAAAGAATCATGTAAATTAATACTACCTCCGTCCCGCTAAGATTGTTCCATTTTACCATTTTGGTCTGTCCCACTAAGATTGTCTCATACCTTATTTGGTAAAGTTTGTGTGGCTCTAAATCATTCTTACTTTGTCCTTACTTTATCAATTCATTATCAACCACATAAACCACCTTTTATAGATTGTGTGCCACTCTCTTTTGTCCCATTGTTAGTGGGATGGAGGGAGTATATTTCTTCTTTACGTTATTATTAATTTATTATTATTATTATTGATTTGTTAACACGTTTGACTTTTAATATTTATTTTCAAGTGTGCAATCCGCACCGGAGATGTATTTGCATTATTGTCAATGTAACACTTCGAACTATTTATATCTTGTCAGAACATGTTGAATTGTGTTTGTTATAATCATTTAATGTAAGAATCTATTTAATTGTGTTTGTAATAATTCTTTAGTTTAGCAATCTTTCTAATCATTATTCTCTTTTAAAGATTCATTGTTCACGGATAACTGATAAGTGTTTAAAAAAGTATTCACAATGCATTATAAAAAGAAGAAGTATTCATAATGCTTCTATTAATTTTATCATCCATTAATTCAAATAAACTAATTTATGTTAAATAAAATTAATAGAAGATTTGTTAAAGAATACAAAAAAATCATGATATTCTTATCCGGTGCGAACTTGGAAATATTTCACTCCTCATCGGCTGCAATATGCGTCGCAACGGTCGCATTAGCTGCAACACCGCTACCGCTACCGCAATTTAAAACCTTGGTGGCTAGTGGCTACACAAAAATCTTTGAGCATTTTACTTAATGTTTTAAAAAGTACACTGATCCATGGAAGGTATGCATACATGCGCACACACGTTCCAATATATGGACTAAGACCTCCAAATCATTCCCCTCCGAACCACTCCATCCAAACAGATCCTAAATTTTACAGGCTAGGTTGTGAAGTTCTACATGAGTTGATATATGCCTTTTCAATATTATTGTAGAGCCACAACTTGCCATCTATCTATTAATGGCTTAAAATACTACTTCTTTCACCTGTGGGAAAACAGGGTCCTCCCATGTCAGAAATTCTGTTTATATTTTTATAATATTTAGTTAGTTTAAAAACGTCATATTTGCTTTATTTGATGAATGAGAAGTCTTTTTTAATCATATCTTTGAAACAAGGGTCTTCTTTTCAGACAGAGAGAATAGTAATAAACTCTGATGGAAAAAACAATTTGAAGTATCAGAAAAGGCTGTCTTCCCTTGGTATTCACTCTAGTACCACACAAAATTACCTTCCTAGTAAATGAAGTAACTCTGCCATGTCTGTTCTTATCTTGTCCATAACTTTGTCGTCTACTGTGTGTTCATAATCTTTGAGCACCTGAAGAGCCTTTCGGTATATATCAATGGCTTCATCCAAATTTCCTGTAAAAGTCTAAAAAAGCAGTAAGTTACTGTTAACACATCCCCCTTAGTTTGAATTTCAGCACGGGAGACAACAGAGAACTGCAAGATTTACCTTTTCTACATTTTGCGCTTGCAAGAGAACACAAAGCCAATCCTACTTTTATATCATTTTCACCATACAAATTCTTGTAGATACTTATGACTCTACAACATACATAGACGAGGGGGAAAAGACAAAAAAGTATTACAAAGAATTAATAGCCAAGAACCAAAGATTGCCGAGAACAATGAAAGAAAAAATGTCACCTTTGAAAAGCAGTTTCAGCATCTGCTGCTCTTCTTTCCTCCAGTAAAAGGTTTCCTAAAGCAAATAAAGGCACCACTAGTTCTTCACTTTCAGTGCCCTGGCTAGATTCCAATATTGAGATTGCACGATAGTATGTTTCTATAGCTTTTCTAGCCCTACCAACAGAGCCAAGAGCTTTTGCCATTCCTAACAATGGGACGATGATGAAAGAATTTGTTTCCCCTGCCAAGTTGGAAAATTTGTTTATATCATGAATTTCTTTCTACTACCAGTATATTTTACTATCATAAAATAATCACCATATCTTCTTTCTGTTATTGCTAGCGCTCTTCTGTATGATGATAATGACATTTCAAATTTCCCTAATTTATCATATACGCTTCCCATATGCATCAGTATTGAGTCCAATAGAGGTCCATCATTATTCAAATCTTCAACGATCCCGTTCAACTGTCGATAAGAAAAAACATGGGTAAATATATGGATAAAAAAGAATGAAGAGACAAAAGGGAGGATTGGAGCTCATAAAAATGAGGTTTTTTATAAATAAGATAAATTACCAGATGCAGTATGGATCCAACGGTGTTTAGGTCACCAAGGGCCATGTAACCCAATGCTATTATGTCAAGAACAGCTGCCTCTTCTATTCCTCTAAAACCACAATCTATCTGTTCTTTAATGGCTTCATAATTTGCTTGAAGTAGATCAACAGCATCATTTCTCTTTCCTGACTTTATCATGACATTTACTTCATTAAAGAGATCATGCAATTGCTCTTCAAGATCATTAATACAGCTCAAATCACTTTTTAAGCAGTTTCCCGTATTTCTAGACCTGTAACAAAAGCAGGCATGGATAAATATATATATAAACGTTATGAACTGCATTCTGCACCAGAATTACATTAGAGTGTCTGGATATTTTCCCAGTAACACAGTTCAATCAACTTCATGTTGTCAGGGGAAAAAAATTACCAACATCAAGATCCACTAACAAATGATAATATGATACGGACTAATTTATAAAAAAAGAATCATAAAGATTCAACTTTTTCAAGACTTCAATCATATGGGACCAAATGCAAAGGTATCCAGATATTATAAATGGAGAAATGTGCGACGAAAAAGTTCATACCATTCTGAAGTAGCTTCGTTCAGCACATCAGAAGTGACATGTGTCAGAACATCAGAGGCAGCATAGGTTGTTCTAAGCAGAAAGGAAAGCTTAACATTGCACCTTTTCCTTGGGCGAATACTATAGAAAGACAACACGGCTTTCTGCAGTTGACCAAAATAGGTGTGTATCCTGAAAATGCAATGGCATGGGTACTGCAAAAGTATGGAGAAAAGAAAGAAGCCACGAAATGGAAAGGGGGTTTAGAAATTAACCTGGAGAACTTTGTAGTATAGGACGAGTTCCCAGGGCAGAGAAAAGATGCCATGTCTGTAATTGCAGCTCAAAGCTCGGAGAGTGTAGAAGATGGGTTGGGAAGTGGGAACTTCTTATCTAATCAAGTTGGATGTTATCGAATTAGGCTCTGCCCAGCCCGTTTGAGAAATAGCTCTTGGGCTAACCACAATGGGGATGGGGAAAGCCGGATGGGAGGTTTTTAGCCCAAAATTGGTTGTTGATTGCTACAGGCTGGGCTCCAGCAGCTGGTGCACGCCTGACATGCGCAGGAGGCAATTTGTGGACAGTTGCGAAGAAAACCTTTGTAGCAAGATCTGACGTCTAGAAATCATTGGAGCCCAAAAAAATATTGTAGGTAAATCCAATGGCTGAAAATTAGATCCATGAAATAATTAGTTTTATTATGTGAATTAATTTTTTCAAATATTGGATCGTCATTTCTATATAAACATCATTTTTCCCTTTATTTCAATATACCACTTTTACTTTAAAAAAATTAATTCAATTTTTTTATTTTCTTAACATCGGAATGTTTGACTCTTTAAATCACAATTATTGGTAAAAATAAAAGTGTCACGGTGTAATAAAAAAAAGTAAGGGTTTATGCATTTAAGTTTTTAAAGAAATGTACTGAATGAATATATTGATGGTACAGGGTTGCAAGAAAAAATTAAATTGGCTGAATTAATATGTGTAAACTAGTGACAAGTTAAATTTATTGTGGGTTGGGTTACGTTGCGGTTAGTGTTAACGCTTAAAGTTAATTTGGATAGGGTCATAAGGGCATAGGGCCTGGAGAGTTACGAGTAGGGACTACCAAAAATCTC